AAAATGGCTTGATTTTCACCAAAAACTGACCTTTCTCTGTCCCTAGGAGACCATAATTCATGTAGTAGTATAGATCTCCTTTCACAGCCTTGTAGTGTCCACTGAGAAAGTGATCATGTGACTGTCCTGCCGAACGTCTCTGCTTTCAAAAGTGAACACTCAGAAGCCTTCTCCTGGGTGGGGGCGCACACTCCACGCTGTTCCCCCTGAATCCAAGTCAAAACCACTAGGCAGAATGTACGGAGCAATGTTTTGAGGACTCTGAAAGATAGTAGCAGGCAGATTGGGGAAGGAAACCAAAATGAGAAGTGGGAGAGATAAGCCATGAGTTTCCTATTTTTTCCTTCCCATATGTCCCGCCTGCACGCCAAGGCCACCTGAACCGCAGAACGGCAGACTTCCAAAACAGTCCCTCTCTTTCCAGCCCAAGGAGCAGAAGTGGAAGTCCCTTGGGGACAGAGACCGGGAGGAATCCTGCCATCTTCCCTGCAAACCTGTGAACGTATGGAATGTACATTCTAGACTTTTAAAAAAAACATAGTTGATTATCCCAAATGTGCTGTGCTGTCCTCAATAGTTGAAAATGTTTGTGAAATACACTTACTGCACAAGCATTGTAAACTTACTCTTTCATAATTTATTAAGCAGTTACAGGGGCGTCTGGGTGGCTCAGTCCGTTGAGCGTCTGCCTTCATCTCAGGTCACGATCCCAGGGTCCTAAGATCAAGCCCCGCTCAGCGGGGAGTCTGCTCCTCCCTGTCCCTGTGCCTGCTGCTTCTGCTCACGCCAGCTCCCTCACTCTCAAATGCAAAATAAAAGATCTTTAAAAAAAAAAAAAAAAAGGCAAGTACAGCCTAATTCAGTGCCTTTGAGTCCCTGTAGTGCGAGCCCAGTGTATCCCCGAAGATTCTGTACATTTCCGTATATCCCAGAGTTATATCCCGGGACTCCCGGTGTTTTCAGAACGGGCGGGGCCTGGGCCTGGACTAGCCAGGGGACAGCTAGCTAGCTAGCTTTTACTGGGTGCATTATTTCCAGTTTGTTGCTTTTATAAATAGTATCACAGTGTTTGTGCGTAAAGCTTTCTCTCCTGTTTGGGGTCATATCTTGGAGGTAGACTCCTAGAAGCCGTGTATGGGGGTCCCAGGCCATGCCGTTCATGTTGCTGGTCAATAACGATGATGAGTTTTGCGGGGGACTTCGCCAATCGTAATAAGGCTGTGAGTCCCCAGGCTGTAGGTGAGGAGTTTATGGCTTAGACTGATCCACCCCCCGGGGCTCACACTGCTGAGTGGCGAGTGAGCCCCTCTGCCTGCTCCCATGAGCCCCCGGTAACCCCAGCCAGCATGTCCCCTCCTCCTCACCCACCCATCTGAGATGGGTGACCCTGTGCCTGCCCCCGCAGTGGCCAGCTTCTGTGAGCTTTGCTGACTTGACGCGGGATGTCCATTTGTATTTCTGTTTGTTTGACAGACTTATCTGCCTCCAGTGGCTCATACCCCTTTGTCCACTAATAAACTGTGTTTCCCACCAGTCTGATTCTCACTTGATTTATGTGTGTGATGCACAGGGAAAAAATGGTAACTGGTTTCTGCTGCTGTTGTTTTGCAGTTTGTTTTTTAGTTTGTTTGCTTTTTTAAACATCATTAAAATAATTTACGTGGCTGTAACCATCTATCTTCTTTTCCTGTTGCCCACTAAGCTTAAAGAGACTAGCCCCCTTGCAGAGACCTGACCGACGGGAAAAGATAGTTTTAAAAGAAAGCTTAGGAGTTTTAAGGGCACTTGTAAGAAATGCAGCATTAATTTCTGGGTTTTTTTTTTTCTTGGTGTTATGTTTTACTTATAACGTCTCCCTCTTCCCTACACGTACAGGTTCCCCACAAGTATTTTCATGCTAAAACGGGAGGGCACATTATGGGATGATGGTACCTGAGAACAGGATTTCTAGTGTAACAGAGTTTTAGAAGGACAGGCTAAAATAATATAAAACGAAAAGCTGTCTAAGCTTTTTTGGCCATCATTCTCCTCTTTATCCATTGTTGTGACAGAACTGGGCCAAACTTTCAATCTAAACTTTAAAAAAAGTGTCAGCACGTTTATTCATGTATACAATCTAAAATATAAAATGGTTCTGCAGAAGTTGTTAGGAAAAACATTAGCTGCCCCCCACCCCAACCCTGATCCAACTCCAGCCCATGTTCCTAACACACTTGCAGCTCTTTTAACTGAATCTAGTAGTGGTTACCTTCATATTTTTTCACTCTTACAGGTGTGTGTGTGTATGTGTGTGTAAGTGACGTGGCAGTTCTGTTTCTTTTTCTGGTGGCAATCTTAACTGACCTACAGGGAAGGCTGGGACTGAGGTTCCTCGGGGCCCCAGCCCCAGTTCGGCGCCTTTTCTGCCCTGCCCTGTCCCACCACGGGCCGTCACACTTCTGTCTCCTCTTCCCCGTCTAGTTTTCTCTTCTTCTTTTCTTTTCTTTTTTTTTTTTTTTAATCATTTGACAGAGATCACAAGTAGGCAGAGAGGCAGGCAGAGAGAGAGAGGAGGAAGCAGGCTCCCCGCTAAGCAGAGAGCCCGATGTGGGACTCGATCACAGGACCCTGAGATAGTGACCTGAGCCGAAGGCAGAGGATTAACCCACTGAGCCACGAGGCGCCCCTAGTTTTCTCTTCCGATTTAGCTCCATACTAGCTCGGTGCTTGCACTATTCGTGTGTAAATGCTCTTTGTTGGCTACTCATGCGGGTCCTGTAATTACTTTTCTGCCCATTTTCTGTTCCCTGTAGTGTTACTCGCTTCTTGTATTCTTAATGGTCTGTGTGCACAGTCATTGCCACGTGGGGGCTCCTCATTCAGGGCTGTCAGAGGCAGGGGTCGACAACACTCTGTTGGTGTCGCCTCCCCGAGGACGACCGTCCCGCCTCCTGACCCGCCCCCTGCGCTGTCCCTGCTCACAGCCCCTTGGCTCTCCCCTCATTGGCGTTCCAGTGGGTCCTGTGTCTTCTTTTTTCTGCGTTTACTCCTTTGCTTTATGGAGCATATCTTTGTAATTCCCTGAAAACAAGAGTCCGTAGGTGGTAGATACTGTGAAATCTTGTGTGTGCACAAATGGCTTTGATTTATCCTTCACTGTAGGGCCAATTAATAATATGGCTGGGTATAGGATTCTAAGTTGGAAATCATTGTCCCCCAGAATTTGGGGGCATTCTTCCAGAGCCTTCTGTTCTCCAGTATTGTTTTGGAAAAAGCCTGACTCCTGGTGCTTGCTTTGAAGCTTGTTTTTAACGTCTGGAGGAGTTAGGGTCTCCTGCGGCGGGTCTGTTTGCTGCTGTCGAGCTACACGTTCACTGACCTTCTGGACGTGGAAATCCATTCCTTCTGTGTGGTGTGTTCGGCCTGCCGTCCTAACTAGAAATCCGGATTCCTGTTGTTAAAGGGAAATTGTAGTAAAGCAGTATTTCCCAAAGCCTGGAATACCATCAGTGAGATGCTGGAAAGGATCATGGTGATTATTAAATTGGGCAACTAACCAGACTTTGAAAAAGTGTGCTGACAAGCATAAAATACAGGCAGGCACGCATTTCATTCGACAGAGCAAATAAAAATTGCAGTGAGTGAGTCATTGAAGCCACTGACAACTCCCGTGTGCGGCCCAGACGTGTGCCGGAGACGGGTGGGTTATGTATGAACTCTTCTCACTCTCACAGAAAGGGAAGAACGTGCAGTTCTACCCACGTTACGTGAGAAGACTGAAGGCACGTCCACCTCAGTCCCTTGTCTCCATTGGGCCACCGAGTATCGTAAACCAAAGTCTTCTTGCATATGAGGGCTCCAGTCTCCAGCGCTCCCGCTAAGTGAGCGGAACAGTTGTCCCCAAGCCAAGTACCGGAAGTTTTCCCAGATGTTTTTGGTAGTGTATCCGTCAGTGACTCTCCCTCTGTCAGTGTGATTTTGAAAGTTGGGTTAGCGTCTGCTGAAATGTGCTGTAGAAAGTGCTAGTAGTTTTTAAGGAATGTTCTGAAGCCACTTGCTTCATCACAAGGCCTGTACCCCTCCTGAGTGCTGTCTGAAGAACAGCGGACGTTGAGCAGCAGACTTCACGGGGGTTCTTGTGTCCCTCGGTGTGAGCTCCTGAAGGCAGGACGCTCCTGGGCATCTCCTCTGTGCTCAGCACCCACACCGGGCACTTCTGTGACCAGAGGTGAGGGAATGAATGCTGAAGCTGCCTCCCCGGGGTTAGCATCAGGTCCCAGAGGCTCAGGGCTCTGTGTCACACGGACTGTCCCCGCCTCCTGCTTCAGACACCCGTCCCAAGTCTGGGCTGTCCCTAGGGCTTCTGACCCCCCTGCTATACATTGGAGGTTCCGGGGACCCTGTCCTCCAGTTTGATTAACTTGCTAAACGTTGCTCACAGGACTCAGGAGAACATGTTAACTTACCAGATTTCCAGTGTGTTCAAAGAGGATGTGACTTAGGATGCTCTGGGCGAGGTGTGTGGGAAGGGGTTCAGAGCTTCTGCACTCTGTCTGGACGCACCGCTCCCTCCAGACCCCTGTGTCTTGACTTTTCACCAACCTGGAAACTCTCTGAACCGTCATCTTCTGGGTTTTTGCGCAGGCTTCATTCTGTAAGCCGGGTGCATGAGGCCGTTGGCCATGGGTGACCACCTCCGCCTCTAGGCCCTCCCTGCTCCTTGGAGGTCCAGCCCCCTGGTGGTCTGGTCGGCTCTCCTGGCATCCAGCCCCCCTTCTTGGAGGCTTGGAGTCACCCCATTGACGTGCACGCTGATGTGCAGAAAGCGGCTTTTGGGGAGTCACCGAAGAAAGACACCTTGATGTCAGGAAATTCCCAAGGTTGTGCCAGGAGAACAAAGAGACCACATCCGTATTTCTGACTAGAAATCACCGTGTCACAAAGCTAATTCCTGACGGTAGCCATCATGGCAAGCTTCCAGGAAGACCAGTAACGAGTCTTGTTTTCTCTTCTCCCACCAGCTTTTTGGAGACTGGGAAGCGCAGCTGCGGAGAATCATGAAGCTCATCGCCGGCGGTGGCCTCTCCATCACCGGCTCCCACAACATGTGTGGGGACTACCTGTACAGCGGGCACACCGTCATGCTCACGCTCACCTACTTATTTATCAAAGAGTGTAAGTCATGACCCCTGCCATCTCCCCTGGTCTCTTTGGACTCTCCTGTGGGAGGCCAGGCCCTGGTGTCCCTACAGTGGCCCCCAGAGTGACCTGTGTGTGTGTGGACGGGGTGACTTGTTCCCTCAGGTGTCAGAGTAGCATTCGAGCTGCTGGAAGGAGCCAGAAGGACATCTTCCTGGGACCACAGGCAGCCAGTGTTGGGCTGGGTTGGACGTTCTCAAGCTCCTGGCTCCCCACTAAGCGCAGGGATGGAAGGGGCACAGTGACGTTCCTCATAGAAGCCGTGGGCTCGGGACACTAACTGAGGCAGGCACTGAATGAGAAATTCCCTTTAAAAAATGTACTTAAAATATTTTATTATGAGACATAGAAAAAATAATACTAAATATGCCCCCGTCCACTGCTCAGACTTAATAAACAGTGGCCTTTGCCGTTTTGGTTTCGTTTAACCCATTAAAAAGCCAATAGAAGGTAACTAGGTGATGAAGGTCTCTCATTCCTTCCCCTCCTGTTTTCCTCTGTCGTTTCTGTCATGTTTTGGTGCTTGCGTGTCATGGTTTGATGGTTTGTCACATCTGCTTAATGGTATTATGTTCTCTCTGGTTTTTCTCCACTTGTCTGGACTCCGGTGATGTAGGTGGGACATGAGGCTCTGGCTCATCGTAATGAACCATGGGCTGTTTATTTTTCTCCTTGTAGAAACTGCAGGTGTTCTCAATATTTTACTGTTAAAAACTGTCTCTCAATGAGCATTAGGCAGTTTCCGTGAAGAACAATGAGGATACCCGGGCTGCCAGACCTCGGAGGAGGGACGCACGCATTGCAGTCTGGACGTGTCTTGGGAGTGAGTGCGTGGCACCGTTCAGAGCGTTGGGTGTGGTTGGAATTCAGAGTGGTGGTAGTAGTGAGAAGCCACAGATGAACCGATCAGTAGGAAGCAGATCATGGAGTGCACCTTGAACCCCGAGAAGGAGTCTGAACTTTGGTTCTCTCACACACAGTGGCCATGCTGTCCTGTTTCTCCCTCAGAGAAGGAGGATCCCCTGTTGGGATGGGTGCAGGGTGGGTGGAGGGGGCCGGGCTGGAGAGCAGGGCGGGAGTGGGTCACTGGCTGCTGCCGTAATCCAGGGAAGACGTGGGGTGTCCTGAGCCCCATTGGTGTTGGCGTTGGTGAGATGTGGAGGGAATGGAGAAAGGTCAGCGGAGAGCCCGCATAGAGCAAGGTTGGCTGGGAGCATGGGAGACCACTGAAGAAGCAAGGCTTGAGAGCCCAGTTTGGGTCTTTTTTTTTTTTTTTTTAAGATTTTATTTATTCATTAGAGAGAGAGAGAGAGAACACACAAGCAGGGGGAGGAGCAGGCAGAGGGGCAGAGAGAGAAGCAGGCTCCACCTCCCAGCAAGGAACCTGACATGGATCCCAGGACCTGGAATTGTGACCTGAGCCAAAGGCAGATGCTTCTCCAGCTGAGCCACCCAGGTGCCCTAGGCCAGCTTTGGTCTTAAACTGAGATAGGGAAGACAGGAGAAGAGGAGATGTGCTTCAGGGCACTGGGAGAGGGAACGTAGGTGTTCTTCTGCTTACTCTTGGCACGTGACCAATTCTCACAGCTTCTTTTCGGAACCCTCAAGGCGCCGTCTTGCCCTTGTGCTGGGGTGAGCTGGCTATGGAAGTGGGGGCCGGCACGCCTGGTGTAAGCACTTGGGGAAGCGCTCCTGCTCGGTGCTGCTTGTACTGCAGTAGAGGCTAAGCCTTATCCTTGAAGGAAACCCAGGGTGCTACATTGGGAGACTGGGAAAACTGGGGTCACAATCACAGATTTTGAGTCCTGGTGCTATCATGAGCTCTGTGACCATGGGGCCCACCTTTGACCTCTCTAAGGCTTGGTTTCCTCAACTTTAGAATGAACTACTGGTAGCCACTCTGGCTGAGGGAGAGGAGAGGTGGTAGGAATGAAGATAAGCAGCATACACAGACTCCGGCAGAGTTGCGTGAGGAATTGTTGTGTTGTTAGGGTGCAAATACAGATTCTTCTGGGACTGGACTGTAGAGCCCCCCGCCCCTGCCCAGCCACTCCCTTTAAAGCCACAAACCTACCTTCCCCTTCTCTGCTTCTGATCCTGTTTCTCCTGTTTAGCTTTTTAATTTTTTATTGGCATTTCACATCTTCTGACATAGCATATACTTTACTTATTTACTGTAATTAATTTGTATCATCTCTCCTCCATACTGGGAAGGGATCTGCCCACGGGGCAAGTTCTTTGCCTGTTTTGTTTGTTTATCTCAGTAGCTAGAGCATCTCCCCTCCCAAGCACGTACAAGATGCTTGGTAAATAGTGGTTAAATGGAGGACTAGTTCGTGGACCCCATACGAGTCCAGTAAATGTGAACTTTCTCCCCCTGGGGTCGGGAGGATGGATCACATGCAGATGTTCGTGCATAAAACTTCAGACCCTCTTCAGCCCATGCTTCGAGAATACAAGGCTGGAAGGCCTGTGCTTGCAGAGATATTGATGCTTCTGCTAGGGGGCTTCCAAATCGGGGTTTGGACAGGTGTTTATTTGACCCTGCCCTGCCTTGAAGGCACTTGGACCCAAATCCCCAGGCATCTGGATCCTTTCTTATTCCCATTTGAGAAATGGAAATCTCAAAGACCTCCAGGTTAGGGGATGGTCCCAGAGCTTGGAAAGCAGATAAGACAGTTCTGTCAGCTGTGACTGCCTAGTCCCCATGTAAGGGTCTCCGGACCACTGGTACTGATTTTTGTTGAGAGCGTTAATTCCAAATTATTCACAAGTAAATTGACTTAAATGTCGGTGGGCTTTTTTTTCTTTCTTTTTTTTTTTGGATAGAACATGGTGTATCGTCCTGTCTGTTGTCCTTTTAAACTGTATTTATGATAATACAAAGCAAGTGCTAACCTGACAGAAATTACAGTCTGATCAATCATGAAATACGTGGCTGCCATTCTTACCTTGGTTACAGAGAAGCAAAAGCCCTTAGATTTGCTGCCACATGACGTGTTTCCGGAAGGAGAGGTCCACGTCGCTGGGTAGTGGGGTGGGTGCCCTTAGTGGCGCTGGGACAACGGGGCCACCGTGAATGTCTTGTCTTCGCAGACTCCCCGCGACGACTCTGGTGGTACCACTGGATCTGCTGGCTTCTCAGCGTGGTTGGGATCTTCTGCATCCTCTTGGCGCACGACCACTACACTGTGGACGTGGTGGTGGCCTACTACATCACCACGAGACTCTTCTGGTGGTACCACACGATGGCCAATCAGCAAGTGAGTGTCCTCTTCTCACAGGGTCACAGCCTCCCTGCCCACCCCCCAGGCCCAGTGGTGCACATACCATTTACAGACAAGCGTTGATTTCTCTCCGAGGGGTCGGCATCTCAGGTGGGGTTGTCCTTCATGATGCCGGCCCACTGGAGAATAAAAAGTGACCAGGGAAGGCGTGGGTGCAGCACCACAGACGTGGCGTCCATCCAGCGCTATGCCCCGTCTTCTCCCCAACCCAGACAAATGTCTCAGCTGTGCCCACCCAGTCTCCATCCCCCCCGCCAACTGAGTACAGAACATCCATTGCAGGGAAGTCACCGAAACCCTGACTGGAGGATACACTGATGGCTGCGAGATGGCGTGAGGCTCGTGTTGTCCATGCGCTCGCAGAATTGGCGTAGTTCTCCTGCTGGGCTGGGGCCCAGTTAGCAGAGTGCATGTGATAACATGCGTGTGTCACCAGGCACGTGGGGAGCCTCTGGGGTCCTTTGCAACCTGAAAAGGGACCGTCCAGACTCCAGGTGGAGGGTGGTTAGGAGCGTGCGTGTTCCTCTTGGGGCTGGGGCAGTGGCGTGTGCCCCCTGACTTAGGTTTCCTGTCCTTCTCCCAGGTGCTAAAAGAAGCTACCCAGATGAACCTCCTGGCTAGGGTGTGGTGGTACAGGCCGTTCCAGTACTTTGAAAAGAATGTCCAAGGAATCGTGCCTCGCTCGTACCATTGGCCCTTCCCCTGGCCGGTCGTCCACCTCGGCAGGCAAGTCAAGTACAGCCGCTTGGTGAGCGACACGTAACGGCGCACGAGGCGGGCAAGCGAGGAGCTGTCTGAAGTGCTAGAGCTGCACAAGAGAAGATGCCATGAACACACCTCCCTGACCCCGTTCTCCTTCAGCAGTTCCCTTGACTTAACCTATTGAGTTACCTGGTCAGCACTGTGATCTTTTTTTCTCTCCAAAGGACCTGCGTTGGACAACAATAAAGAAAATCTAACCTATCATGCACTGTACACATCTTCCTGTTCATAAGTTTGGGATTTCCATAACCTGCGACCACCATGTTCCTTTGTATATGATGCAACAGCATAAATGTAAGCTTTTATATCATCAGTTCTGGTCTTTCCAGGCACATCTGGAAATAAAGCGTATTATTTTCTTGGGAAAACATACTTTTCATATCTCTTGCCCCAAAGATTGGGCTGTAAGCCATTTTCTAGCAAATGTCTCTATGAAGGTTTCTAAGTACCTGAATGGGGTTCGATTCTGAAATCTTTCTACCTGTTGCACCGATATTCAAATAAAAATGACAGACACAGAAAGGTTCGGTAACTTTGGGTTTTGTAAAAATCAGCAGAGAGAGTGTGTCAAAAAGTGCAAAAAATAAAAAAAAAAGATTCTGTTATAAAGTGATTTTCTAAGTATTTCCTAACTTTATTTTTCAAAATAATGTTATGAAAACCAAATTTAAAGATTTTTACATGTCAGAGAGAAGAGAGTTAAAATTTAAAAATGCTTCTTGGGAGAGAACTTTGTCTATGTTTATAGTGCCTTTCTTGTCTTGATTGTATGGTCAGTAGGCAATCTTAAATGTTTTTATTTAAAATAAAATATTCCATGGAAATATAAATGTATGTATACACTACTAAATTTTGCATTTATAGCTAAATCAGAAGACTGCTTATGGTTTTTAAATCGCTATGAATTAGAGAATGGGGGAGTTAATTAGAAAGTCAGAGCCTGTTCCCATATTGTGAGCAGGCGGGAATGACACATATACCACTTAAATTATTTTATCATCTATTTGGTAGTTCGATTTTAACTATACAATGAAAACAGCCATGCATACTTTGTTTTTAAAAAGAGAGTTTTGAAAATGATCACTCAACTAAAACTTGAAAGCTCTAAATTAGTTATCCGTACTCTTATGACAATTTTGTTGGTGAACAACAAAACAGAGATCTATTTCTTTAAAATATATTTGTGCAGAAACTGCATGGAACTCGAAGTTTTACTCCCAACATGAGTATGTTTGGGGAAGTATTCTCTTCTATACTTGCCAATGTGGAGAACAAAATAGTTTTTTAAGAATGAAGAAGTATATATATCCATTCTGTATTTTACGCGGCAGAATTATCTTCCGTAGGGTTTTTTTGTGAATTCACAAGGTGATATTTGTATTGTAAAACAATAATGGTGAAGGAAATAAAAAAGGCTTTTAAAATTTTGTTTGTTTTAAATATTTGTAAAGTTATTATTCCAGAGAGTACACTGATATCTTAACGGCTTACCTAGATCATAAATTAATCAAAATGCACTTTTTAATAAAACCTGATACTTAAAATAGATGGCTGTTATTTCTAATGTGTTCACATCCTTCCTGGAAGTCATCGGCAGAGTCATTAAAGCAGAGGTAAAATGCTGCGTTTTGGATCTAGGGTTTATTCTGAGACAGGGCCTGTGGCAATTCTGTTTCTATCCCCTTAAGGTTTCTGAAAGCGGACGAGGGTCTTTGCAAACATACATAGACAGAATGGAAGGTGAGTTAAATTCGAGCTGTTGGCTAGAGATGTCAGGCTGGTGAGGTTTCCTTCGTGGGACTCTGGACGTGTGTCTCCGTCAGAATGCAGGATGGCCTCTGGGGAGGCCTGTTGCCCAGAATTCTGGGATGGGTCTTTCGCTGGTACAGCCTTTCCCCCGACCTTGACTGTCAAGCCGGTGCGGCCCATCAAAGGGGAAGGAAACTTGAGGAATGAAAATGAAGTATTGGGACATGTTAAAAATTGCATCTTTTCTTCCTGAGTCAAGTAGTTAAAAAAAAAAAAATGACCACAGGTTTGTATCCTACCTATGTACTAAAGAACTTCATGCCTGACCGCCCTGGTTCATGAATGGACGTATCCCGTGGCTCCCCTACCTGCAGATTCAGGAAGGACAGAGAAATCTCCTGTTCTAGAGAATCGTAGTCCACTTGATAATGCCTGTCTGGTTGCGGACGTGCACGTTTTTGTCCTTCCATTTACTAAGACGAAGCCCTGGACGGTGGCTCCTTTGTTCGGCTCTTTGCGAGGAGGACATTTTACGTGTGTTATCTTGTTAACCCCGACAAAAACCATGAGGTTAGAAGTTATTACCCCATCTTGGCAGGAGGGGACTGATTGGAGTTCCAGTTTCCACCTTCTCCCCAGCACCCTGTGCTCCCCCAGATACTGTTGAGTGTTCATAAATTCTATAGGGTCAGGGTCAGCAGTGAGAGAATCGGCGCTTACCCTGGTAAAGCCAAGTGGGACGCCTCTTACTATGAACCGCATCGTAGGAAATCCATGTCACAAGCTGAGAGACTAATTTCTTAACTGCTAAATGGTTTATTTGGATCCCAAATACCTGATAAATGGGATCAATAGCTCATAAACTTTATAAGATAAAATGAGGATCCCTGTTAGCTTTCATTTGACCTTCATTATACAGACAATCAACCAGGAGGGTGCCTGGGTGGCTCAGTGGGTTAAGCCTCTGACTTCGGCTCAGGTCATGATCTCAGGGTTCTGGGATCGAGCCCTGCATCAGGCTCTTTGTTCAGCGGGGAGCCTGCTTCCCCCTCTCTCTCTGCCTGCTTCTCTGCCTACTTGTGATCTCTCTCTCCCTGTCAAATAAGTAAAATCTTTTAAAAAAAAGAGTCAACCAGGTATTGGCATAACTAAGGTATAGAATATGCTACTTGGATCCCTTGGATGCTGATATTCTTTCTTCTTTTTTTTTAAGATTATTTTAGAGAAAGAGTGTGCAGCGGGGAGGGGCGGAGGGAGAGAGAATCTTGAACAGACTCCCCACTGAGCATGGGTGCCAATGCAGGGCTTGATCTCATGACCCCGAGATCCCAACCTAAGCCAAAACCAGGAGTTGGACGCTGATGCTGACTGACAATCTTTTTTTTTTTTTTTTTTTCCCCCGCTCCCTCTGGTCAGGAAACTTAACTTGAACAAATCCAGACTTGATATTCTGCTTATCAGGACCTTAAACTTCTCCTCTGTCTGCTGGTTCAATAGAAGTCAAAAGAAAATTAAACAACCTGCTAGATCCAGACTCCAGCCTGCTGAGGTCAGAGATGGGTATGGTCTGTGAGTGACCCACTTAGTGAAGGGAGGTTGCAGGAAACTGGAAGGAGGGAGCAAGAAGGTCAGGATCGTGGGGAGAGTGGCAGAAGGACAGTGTAGGCGGCCATAACTTACCATTGGTGAAGACAGGGAGGGTTTATCACAAGAGCTAAGGTGTGTGTTGCACGTGTGGGAAATCCTTTGCGTTCTCTAGTGTTGGCCTGGCACTAGTGTCGTTGAGCATCTAGCAGTTGAGAAAATGCATGCGACAGGATTAGAGATGCCCTTGAGATTTTCTGGTTTACCATTCACATCGTACATGTGACATCCAATCAGCAGGAATAGTACTCAGCCATTCATTATTCCATCAATGCCTCATGGTTGGTGAGTGCCAAGATTTGAGAGTCTCTTGAGAATTCTTGGGACAGGTTTACTAAAGATTTGAAGGCAGAGATTGATGAGATAGATGGACTCCCATGTTTTTCAAAGTTAAAGGAGTAGAGGGTCCAAATTCAGAGGGCTATGCTAACTCCTGTGTCCCGGTTCCTGTGTCGAAGGATGTCTAGGGAGTGGCTTGAGGGGCCAAAATGGCATCCCAGGTGAGGACAAGGGAAGGCTCAGACACCCAGGAGGGACCGGCCCAGAGTCCCCTCCCAGCCCCATGGTGGCCTAGAAGCTCGTGTGTTGTGACGCTCTCTTGTTAGATGCATATACATTAAAGTTGCTGTGTTTTCTTGGAGGATTGACCCCTTTATTGCTCTGTCCTCTATTCTTTTTTTTTTTTTTTTTATTTTATCTATTTGTTTGACAGACAGACCACAAGTAGGCAGAGAGGCAGGCAGAGAGAGAGAGAGGAGGAAGCAGGCTCCCTGCAGGGAGCCTGATGCGGGGCTCGATCCCAGGACCCCGGGACCACGACCCGAGCCAAAGGCAGAGGCCTCAACCCACTGAGCCACCCAGGCGCCCCCTGTCCTCTATTCTTAATATTCCTTGTTGTGGAGTCTGCTTTGTCTGAAGTTAAAATAACGACCCCAGCTTTCTTCTGATGAGTGTTCAGCATGGCATCTATCTTTCTCCACCCCTTTATTTTTAATCTCTCTAGATCTTTACAAAGTGGGTTTCCTATAGACAGAATATATAGCAGATAACAAGCTTCCTGTTTTTAATCTACTCTGACAATCTCTGTCTTTTTAATTGGTGTATTTAGACCTGTCACATTTAAAGTATAACTGATAACACAGTTGACCCTTGAAAATAGGGGTTTGGACTGAGCAGGTTCCGTGGATTTTTTTTTTTTCAGTCAATTACTATAAATGTACTTCTATGATTTTCCTAATATTTTTTTCTCCAGCTTTATTCTAAGAATACAGTATATAATACATAGACAAAATATGTGTTCATCAGTTGTTTGTTATTGATAGGACTTCTGGTCAACAGTAGGCTATTACTAGATAAATTTGGGGGGAGTCCAAATTTTTATGAGGATTTTTTACTCCTGCCTGCCCCTCCCCTTCACGATAGTCCATCTAAGTTACAGTGTAAGTGTTTTTAGTAAGTGTTTTAGTTTCAGTGGCTTCAGCCCCGTGTCAGCAGATCCCAGCTGTGACTATGGATACTCCTGTCTCTCCAAATTTGGGGAGTGGCGGTTGGCTCTGTTGGCCCCAGTCCTCTGATGGCTCCAAAAAGAAGTCATGTTTTGCAAAGTTTGTCCAGCCTTTTGTAGTTGTAAGGATGGGAGTGGTGACATGACTCCAAAGCTCTTTGCTTGTTGAAGATGAAACCAGAGGCCCTTGGTGACCCAGTTTTTGTTGTTAAATCAATTTGGAAGACAACGAGTAAGCTGTTGTCTGAGGAGGGCCTTTAACATCTGGACATAGAAATTTGTGTCCTAATGACAACTGAAGAACTAAAAATAGAAATGGCTGTTAGAGTCTGCCTTAATGACTTCCGGCTCTCAACACACAGAGTGTCCAGAAGAACATGAAGGCGACTGACACTGGATTGGAGAATGTCGGGGGTACATTTAGGTACCTGAACTGCGAGTTTACTTGCCAGAGCCCTTCACGTGCTCCACTGCCCCTGCCCCCCACCAGCCCAGAGGACCTGGGACGCACCAAGCACTAAAGCAGACCCAGAATCTGGAAGAACCTGAATGACTTTCTCTCTCCTTCTTTCTAAAGACCGCTCTTTGTGGTTCGTTGTCTGAGAGTGCTGTGGCCTGTCCCGGGCTGGTACCTGGGAAAGATCTGGTTAGTAACAAATAAACTGTGTATTAGCAACAAATATAATCGCTTACGAGGAACATCAGCATGTTCTGAAAAAGTGTCAGGTGCCTACAGTCCAGAATGCTTGGTCTCTTTTTGCCAGAGGGTTTATAGTATGTTCTGTTGAGTTAGTCAATTTCTTTCTTCTCTCTCTATCTTTTTGACTTGGACTAAGATAAGTTCTAAATAGCTTAATTAGGTGGCTCAAAGCATTTTTTTCAGTGTGAGCAGGAAATAGGGCAAGTGGTGGTGTTCTTATAGCTGTTCTTACAGTTCTTAAAGCTGTCCCGGTCCGTAGTCTACCAAGAACTTCAACCAAGATATTGTATGTACTTTATTTCACACCAAGGGCTTTGTCCAACTCCTCTCTCAGGGGTTGGCCTCAGGGCGCCTGGGTGGCTCAGTCGTTAAGCGGCTGTCTTCGGCTCAGGTCATGATCCCAGATCCTGGGGTTGAACCCCGCGTCTGTCTCCCTGTTCAATGGGGAGCCTGCTTCTCCCTCTCCCACTCCCCCCTGCTTGTGTTCCCCCTCTCGCTGTGTCTCTCCCTCTCAGATAAATAGATAAAATCTTTTAAAAAAGAGTTGGCGTCTAAGCTGCACTAGCGTTCAGGGAGACGTAACAAGTCATGGTCACATAGCCGGGCCACTTCCTGAAAGAACATGAATCATGAGGCCATCACAGCAGGTGACCCATGTGGCAGTGTAACATAGGGTGACGGGGGGCACGCAGACGAGTTCTGTGCTCAGTAAAGAGCCACTAGTGTTACACGGAGGGAAGTGAGCTGGAAAGATGAAGACGAAGCCCCTGGGAGCCATGGTAGAAGTCCCAGTCGATGGAAAGACTGGCCCCAGCCAGAGAGGGAGCTGGACCACGTGTGAAACCAAACCAAGACTCAGCCTTTATTTAAACTTCTGGGGACATTATCAGGAGACTGAAGCCATTCATGGCTTACATCTTTGGTAAGATCCTTGCTTCAC